CCCTAGGGGCACGGCTAGCCACCCGGCCGCCTGGGCCGAGGCCCTGGGGACGGACGCTGCTGGCCACCCGGCCGCCTTGGGCGAGGCCCTGGAGACGCTGCTAGCCATCTGGCCGCCTGGGCCGAGGCCCTGGGGACGCTGCTAGCCACCCGGCTGCCTGGGGCAAGGCCCTGGGGACGCTGCTGGCCACCCGGCCGCCTGGGCCGAGGCCCTGGGGACGCTGCTAGCCATCTGGCCGCCTGGGTCAAGGCCCTGGGGGATGCTGCTGGCCACCTGGCTGCTTGGGCTGAGGCCTTGGGGACGCTGCTAGCCACACGGCCACCTGGGCCGAGGCCTTGGGGGATGCTGCTAGACACCCGGCCGCCTGGGCCAAGGCCCTGGGGACACTGCTAGCCACCCAGCCACCTGGGCTAAGGCCCTGGGGATGCTGCTGACCAGCCGGCTGCCTGGGCTGAGGCCTTGGGGACGCTGCTAGCCACCTGGCCACCTGGGCTGAGGATGGCGTGGGATGGAGCCTGGAGATGACAAGACGGGGGAGCAGGGATCGCCAGGCCCTGGCGCCGCACAGTCGTGAGCTGGAATACGTGGCCCGCCCCAGCCTCGTCTGCACTGGGCGTGTAGCCAGGAGTGCAAATCCCCCATACAGACGTGACTTCCACGGCCCGGATGCAGCCTGCCCCCGAGGCGCCCCTGGGCCGTCAGGGACCTACGGCACATTGACAGCGCGGGGGCAGCGTGAAAGAAATGGATCGCGACAGTTCAGAGCTCAAGGGCTGAGGCTCTCGTGCCATCGTTGGCTTCCGCCTTGCATGCTGTTACGCCTCGATTGCAGCCACGTGCCCCAGGATCCTGCCCCGGCGCGGGGTTTAGGCCCCGCTGGCCAGATGAATACCATGCAGGTAAGACTCAGCCGTTGCTGGACTGATGGTCCAAGGCTCTGTTCGAGGTAAGAATCCCTCGCAGAATAAATCCCAGTCTTGCAGCCAGCCACTGTAGAGAGAGACTCTACTCCCCCCGGCCCCTCTGTCTCCAAGCTTAGCTGCCCTCATCGATTTTAAGACCACAAGGAACCATGGTGACCATCGAGTCGGACCTCCTATGTAACATGGCCTTTAAATCTCATCCCACGACTCCTGCATCAGGAGGGCAAATGGGCACGGCACATTATAAACCTGCACGTGTTTTATTTTAATGCGGTTTTGTGGGTTTGAGCTTGTTTGTGCCTTACAAATGTTAAGTCTGGTCTTCCCTTGTCTTGTTGGAGGACTCCTGGGAAGAGCTGGAGATGCGTATTCAAGGCTTTCTCTGCCTGTCATTGAACAGATGGGACATTGACTTGAACACGGAGAGCTTTCCACCCACCTGTTCGTTAGGCATTTGAGTAAAATACGTTAACAAAAATCAAACAAAACCCAAAGACTTTTGATCAGGCTGGGGGGAAAAGAATCACTTCTTCCCTCATTGAGTCAAATTTCACTTCCCTGGTATCTATGATTCTCTCCGCCTCCTTTTTCTACAGAGAGACTCCCAGGAAACAAGGAAGGACAAAATTCAATAAGCAAGAAACAGGGGGAAAAATGGCTCTTTAAATAAACCTGTCAGGTAGAGCTGGGCAACATTTTTCAGACAAATTGTTTATTTACCACAACAGTTCACTACCACTTGAAATTTTCTTCAACTTTTTGATTTGCTGAAAAATTATGAAAAATGTTGATCTGATTTTTTCCCCAAAAAATTACCAGTGAACTGAAAAATCCGTTAGTCACCCAGCTCAACTTTCAGGTCCTCTTTATTCATAGATTGTAGGGCTGGAAGGGACCTCGAGAGGTCATCGAGTCCAGTCCCCTGCCCGCATGGCAGGACCAAATACTGTCTAGACCATCCCGGATAGACATTTATCTAATGTGCTCTTAAATATCTCAGAAGAGGCAGAAAAGAGCCTTAAACCCAATCCCCACCTTCTAAAACCATACACAGCTTTGCTTGTTTGATCAACACACCTGCTTTTATTTTAACAATACAAAGGTCAGACGCACACTCGAAAAGGCCATCAAAGCCGGCTGCATCTGAGCAAGTGTGCAGAGAGTTCAAGACATGACAGATGCCAAAGGACAGTGTTGCATTCGGACAGCTTTTCTTTAGAGGAGGGAGGAGGAGGAGGGAGAAAACTTGTTCACCTTAGCCTCTAAGGATAGAACAAGAAGCAATGGGCTTAAACTGCAGCAAGGGAGGTCTAGGTTGGACATTAGGAAAAAGTTCCTAACTGTCAGGGTGGTTAAACACTGGAATAAATTGCCTAGGGAGGTTGTGGAATCTCCATCTCTGGAGATATTTAAGTGTAGGTTAGATAAATGTCTATCAGGGATGGTCTAGACAGTATTTGGTTCTGCCATGCGGGCAGGGGACTGGACTCGATGACCTCTCGAGGTCCCTTCCAGTCCTAGAATCTATGAATCTAGAGTCCATTTTACAGAATCTACTGAGATGAAAAAAATATAAATAATATAGACAGTAATTATAATAGTAATAAAAAACCAAAGCATCTTTCATCCAAGGATCTCAAAGTGCTTTAGAAAAGTGGGTAGGAATTATGCCCACATCACAGAGAGGGAAACTGAGGCACAAACAGGGACGGTGATGTCTCTGATTTCACAGTGAGTTAGTGGCAGGATTCCAAGCCACGTCCCCTGCTCTAACACGGTTGCCTTGCTACATGCTTATTACATACAGTGTGTGACGGATATTGCAACTGCATGCACCGTCTTTGGAGACCATATTGTGTCACAAGTATGAACGATGTATGTGCCACTTGTGGGCCTGGGCATGTACTTAGGGTTGCCAGGCCTCCAGGATTGCCCTGGAGTCTCCAGGAATTAAAGATCAAGCTTTAATGAAAGATGATGTCTCATGACAAAACCTCCAGGAATATGTCCAACCAAATTTAGCAACTATGGCTGCAATTGCCAGGGGCCGGGTCCAGGAAGGCAACGCAGTGGAGAATGATTAAGGTGAATCACTAAGATTATAAACACCTCCGGAGTCTACTTAACACCCCCCCAACCCCAGGCTGGAACAGACTGATTCAAACTGTTTTTTTCAGACATCAGCAAACAAAGAAAGGGCCTTTGGCATAACGAGGCTGGGTTTAAACTGCCTCAGGGCGTCTTTCTGAGCCAGCCAGTGGATGGGAGCGTCTGGCCCCAACCCTTCCAGAAAGACCTTGGCCTACCAGGGCCCCATAAGACTGATGGGTGACGGCTTAGCATGTGCCTAGCAACTTGTCTTTCCAGGTTTACTCTGTAATGGTGTTGCCTTAAGAATGAAGGTGCTTGTTCAGAGCTGGCTGGTAACTTATAACTGCTGGCCACCCTGTTTATAGCCCTCGGGGAGAAAGCAAAGCCCAAGCGCTGGCCTGCAAGTAGACCGGCTCGCTGGGATATCGCAGTGTACAGCAGGGAGCGGTGCAGACTGAAAATCCCCATCAGGCGGAGGAGAGACGCCCAAAAGAGGCGACCGCTAGGAGCCAGAAACCTTAAGTGGGGGCCCTCCAGGGAGCACCGAGGGGGAATAAAGGTGCAGTTACCCCGAAATTGCAACGCCATTTACACGTGAACAGTCCGGAGAAGAGTTTGCTACGTTTTCTTCATCGGTCGCCATGGACAAGTCATCTGGCAACCTGTCCGCCTAGACATTGTAATCCCAGCCAGTCCGGTGGGCATCCCGGCTAGTCCCCGTCTCGAGAGGGCTCCCCTACCAAGCCACAGGGCTGAATGAGAAGCAGCACACGGGCCCTCCGGCAGCCCAGCTGGGCAACGCCTGCAGGTGGCTGTTGAATCATGACTGGTGCAGAGAAAGTAAAGAAGGACGTGTTATTTACTCCTTCTCCTAACACAAGAACTAGGGGGCCACCAAATGAAATGAATAGGCAGCAGGCTTAACACAAATGAACGGAAGTATTTCTTCACCCAACGCACAGTCGATCTGGGGAACTCCTTGCCAGAGGATGTTGTGAAGGCCAAGACTGTAACAGGGTTCAAAAAAGAACTAGATAAATTCATGGAGGACAGGTCCATCAATGGATTTTAGCCAGAGTGGGCAGGGATGGTGTCCCTAACCTCTGTTTGCCAGAAGCTGGGAATGGGCAACAGGGGATGGATCACTTGGTGATTACCTGTTCTGTTCATTCCTTCTGGGACACCTGGCTTTGGCCACTGTCGGAAGACAGGATACTGGGCTGGATGGACCTTTGGGCTGACCCAGTCTGGCCGTTCTTACGTTCTTATGAAGTACCAAATGTCAGCAGGATGCAGGGCCGGTGCTGAGAGCCACCGGGCACCGCTGCGGAGACCTTCCCCTGGCGTCTGGCACCTCACTCGCGAAGGGCACAGACAGACACGGTCCTGGCCCTGTTCACGTTGCCATTGACTTCCATAGAGGCAGGATTGCACCCCGGGGCCCAGATTTCCTCCTGGCCAGTAGGGTTTTTCCTCCATTTCAGGGTGACTCCCATGGAATAGCCCGGAGGTCATGGGGGAAAAGGCCCTGGGCTCCCTTGATGGAGGAGTGGTAGGATTTTTAGGCGCCAAGGCCTTAAGGTGCCTAAATCCCATTGAAACCAAGTGAGGGGGAGGTTAAGCACCTGAATGTCGTTGAGAAGAGGATTCAGATTCGACGCTGTCCCCATCCTGGCCTCTCTCCCCACTCTGCACTTGCCTCTTCCCCCCGGCCATAGCAAACAAACCAAACACTCTCCGCTTTGCAATTCCTCCCTCTCGGCACCCCAGCGCCTCCCAATCCCCCCACTTCGGTCTCTCTGATCATAAGCAGAGCAGGGCAGGGACCCTCTTCATGCTGCGCCGTGCGCAGCCCCGAGCACATGGGCGGCACTTAACCCCAGTGAGAGGCAGCCCCGGGGTCCATGTGGAGAGGGGCAGGGTTAGAACCGTAGAAGCAGACTGGGCAGGGCTCTGATTGGGGGCATCCGAGCGCTGCGTGGATCTTCATGGCCTTTCCGTTGCCCTCTGCGTGAAGGAGGAGGCCTTTTTGGAAGCTTTCGTGGGGCCAGGGCTCCGTTCTGCGGCTGGAGGCTTCCAGTTGTGCCCCCTTCTCTGGAACTCCTGGATGTAGAGGCTGCCCGGCTTCGTCTCGCTCCTGGCTTGGCCGCCGTCTTTCTTTCCCTCTTGCTTTTTGCGGAACAGAACGTTCACGTAGATTGCCTGCCCTGGATTTCAAACAGAGGTTATGCCGGAAAGCGTTAATGGCTGCCGTCAAGCACGGACGGTCACAGACCTGAGTGTGCTAAGCATACTTCTTTCAGCCTAAGAGGAAGGAGCAAGTAAGCCCTTTTGTGGTGTGAGATAGCTGGAGATAGTGGGAGACAACAGAAGTCACCGCCCAAGGCCATCGACCACATGGCAACACCTGTGCAGAGCTAAGCCATGTGGCCTGAGGGGTTTCCCTTGAACTGTTTGCAAACGCATGAGCGAGGGGATTGCTTGGCAAGCTGTGGATGTGAGCGAGGCAGAAAACCAGCAGATATCAAGAGAAGTCGTTGTGAGTGAGCATGGCGCTGAGAGGGTGAGAGAGAGCTCCATGGGGTACAGGACTTGGTGGAAAAGCAGGGTTGGCATTTATGAGCAAGCAAACTGCCTGTTGTTGTTTGTTCGGGAAACAGGACTTTGTGGACATTGTTTGTAAATAAACAGGCTTGCCCCAAAGAAATACCTGACTGATATCAGCAATCTCTCCTCCACTTGGAAACCACCCAGCCAGGCCCCACTCAGGCCAAACACACACAGCAGAAATGATCTTCTATTACCCCACGGCTTTTCCTCCTGGAGGAGCTTCAGAGTTATTTACAAATGCTATACCCAGGAATTGCATTCTTCTGCCCCCTGGAATGCAACCCATTCTGGGGCAGGACACGGCGGCTGTTTAACAGCCACACAGCAACACGAAGATGGCCGCTTAGGACAGGAAATGAAAAAGGGCCCTGTGTCTGGATGAGACAGCGTGTGTGTGTGTGGGGGGGGGGGGAGGTTTCAAGAAGCAGAATGGAATCCGTACAAGATACCCAGGGCTAACGGCTTCCCCTGTTGGTAAATACCCGCTGCGGCCTTTCATAACCAGGAGGGGTCAGGAGGGACGTCACCTCTAGCAGCGCTGCACCCCCTGGCGTCACACTGGGATACTGCCTTGTGGAAGAGCTGCATCCCCTCAGCCATCAGCACCCCCTTGGAAATCCGCCATCCCAGTGCAGACCCCAGCTCACCCCTGCTTGGTTTGCACCAGCTGAGCAACTCAGAGAAGTGGGGATGCAGGGAGCTTGTAGCAAGCAAGTGCTAGTGGATAGGGGCCAGCGCAGCAGCTTCCCAGCTGGTGGGTCTGAAACTCCCCTGCCCTGCCATGGGTAAGGGGCGATTTTAACCACACGCCCTCTTGTATGTAGACACAGCTTCTATAAAAGTCCCTGCCGTCTGCAGCCGCTGGAGGGCAGCACTGCTCAGCCAGCCCCCCTTGGTATAGGAAGAACAGCTGGGATCTCTGCCCAGGTGACTCCCACAGGCAGGGCGTCGCTCATTGAGGTGGCCCATGGGGTCACAGATCCCTGGGGGATCCTTGCCACCCCTGGCTGGCGGTCTCTCAGCCAGCTAGCCACTGCGAAGGGCAGGGTCCCTGCTCCATCCCTGGGGACATGGGCTGCAGCGGGAGTCCCCGGGGGCTCTCTTACCTGGATCTCTGCGCCTGCGTTTGTAGCAGCAGATCACGGCAGGCAGCAGCAGCAGCGCGGTGACGGCCAGCGCCCCAGCCAGGCCCAGCCACAACACTAGATCTGAAACAGCGGGACAGAGCCATCAGCCTCTCCGGGTGCCCCACCCTGTCCCATCCCCAGCACCCTCCACCTGGAGACAGGCAGCCCCGTCCGAGGGGAAGCGCTGGCCTGGCCTGATGCTGCGAGACACCCCGGAGTCCCTGCTCCAGGTTCCTTGCTGGGGCACCGTGTCCTGTGACGATGCCATGGCTCGCTGCCATGGGGAATGCCCGGGGCTGGGCCAGGCCTGGGCAGTGGGGGCTAGGCAGGGGCCTCGTGGCTTTGGAGGCCAAAAGTGATGTTCCAGAATCAATTTCAAGGGCTCATTAGCCACCGTCAGGGCCTGGCCCAGGTGCTCTGACCCTGGGTCCAAGTGTAGCAAGGAGAGATCTGGAGGCCGCAGGAGAGGTTTGGGTGGGTGCGACCCGGGTCTCCCGGAGGGGCAAAGTGGGGGGAGGTCTGGATGGGCATGACTCCGCGGTCCCCTGGGAACCACGCGGCTGTAATCCTGCGAGTTTAACGCCTCTCACCTCTGCTGTGATTCCTCAGCCAACCTCCTCCTTCTGCTGCTGCTGTCGAGAGAAATAAACACCGGTCACTGGGCGACTTCCCCAGCCCCCTTGCTCTGCGTCCTGGGCCAGGGTTCACTGCGCTCCTGAAGACGGCCCTATTTCATTCGCGATCCTGCGGCAATCACGGATCCCGCCATACGAGGCTCCCCTCCCCCCAACCCCGCCCCGCCCTCTGGATCTGAATTCGCTTTCTCTGCCTGGCGCACGGTTCTGCACACCTGTCGGGTGTGCCATTCGCACGGCACAAACACGCGACATCTGTGAAGTGTGAAAGGCCACGGCGGCCGGACTCCACGTCTACAGCAGTTGTGTTACGACTTTCAGTCGCCTGGCTTTTACATCGTGCGGGCTGGTTGGCAAAGACGTTCGCAGGCATCCCATAATACTTGAGTGTTTATATCGCTCCAGCAAATTTTTCTTAAACAAATAGGTCTACTCCGGCTTCTCCAAATGGCCGCTATTGATAACGGCCCATGATTGCTTTTCCGTGATTTTCCATGTCTTGTCCGCAACTCGGCCTCGATTATTTGCAGACCCTCCCACCTTACTCCTGACCCACGCCCGGGCCTCCTAGACGCCACGGTGATGGGCACGTGAGTTAGATTAGCCAGGCTGGCTTCGGAGGGGAACGCGCCACGACATCAGATATTTCCGTGGCAACAAAGTGATGCGAGAGAGAAATTCATCACAACCCGTGAGGTCACCTCCTTTACCGTGGCGAATGCCATGCCAGCAGCATTTTCCAAAGCGAGAGCCCAGCATGGGCAGGGTCGAGGCTGAGCGTGGGGCACTGCCCACACAGACTCTCTGGCCTGGCTTCCCCTCCCGCCCCCAGGGGATGCTGAGAGGGCTGGGCAGCTGGGGACCAAGCGAGCCAGCTGCAGGGAGCTCATTGGGGACCACCCAACAATTAGCACACAGGCCATCTGTGTTCCTCGCTCACTGGCCAGAGGGGGCCCGGCTGGGGAATTCTGTCTGCAGGGTTCCAGCCAGCCCTGAACTGGGAGCCGCTCCCAGCAAGGTCCCAATTGGGTGCAGTGGGGGGCGCTCGGGGGGTGGCCATATGGGGCCTGCAGGAGACACGCAGGCGGACACAGTCTGCAGTGTGCATAAAGCCACAAGGCAGAGAAGAGGGTGCTCCCGGGGAGGAGGCTGGCAGAAGACAGGGTGCTGAGCCCACGGGGGAGAGGGGTCCACAGGGGGCAGGCGGGGCCCAGGGCCCATAAGGTGGGCATGCAGCCTGCCGTGGGGAGGAGAGAGGCAGCCGAGGGGGCTGCAGGATGCAGGGCCCCGGGCAGGTCGCGCTGTGGTTTCGGCAGCTCGCGCCGTGGGTGGCACATGAGAACGGAAGCGCAGCCCTGATGGGAAGTGAGAAACCCAACATCCGACCGGGGAGGGGGATGGAGAGACCCCCACCCAGCACCCGCTGCGGGGTGCAGCCGGGGGGAGGGGAGGGGCTCTCCCAGTAAGTGGAGCTGTAGAGAACAGGCCCCCCTCTTCTCCTAGGGAGCAGGCAGTGGTCTCAGATGCTGCCCCATCCATCTGGAGCCAGATCATCCCCCTCACCCTAGGGGCTGATCCTGTCTGGTGCTGATCCCTGGAGCAGGAGCAGGCCCACAGGCCCCACTGGGAGTGAGTTGCAGGTCCCCCCCCCCCACCCTGGCAGCGCCCCTGCCCCCTACCTGAGGTATTCAGCATCGTCCCGTTGCCCGTGGCATCCAGATACACCGGGATCTCCACGATGGCTTTGCACACATACCACCCCACGTCATCTTCACTGATGTTGCCCATCCTCAGGGTGAACTCAGGGGGATCCCAGGTGAAGCTGAGGCGGGCGTCATCACAGGCCCCCATACCCCTGCAGCAGCTGGAGACGCTGGCGTTGTCCAGCACGACCTGGCAGAAAGCCCTCGGGGCGCTGTCCCTCCGCCACTCCACACGGAGCCGCTCCCAGTGCTGGGCAGCGTTGATCTGGCAGGACAGCTCCACCGAGCCCCCCAGCGGGGCCAGGATCCGGGCAGGATCTTGCCTCACTTGCAGGGTCTCTGATTCCTTGCTGGCGGCAAGAAGAAAGGCTGAGGGGAAGAAGAGACAGGAGATAGAAACTCCACCAAGGGCAGCCGCATAGAGACACTCCCACCATGGATCTCAAAGCACCTCCCAAAGATGGGTTTTACTGCCCTCATTTCACAGATAGGGAAGCCCAGGTACAGAGACAGGCAGTGACTTACATAAGCAGACACAGTTGGTATCGAACCCAGGAGTTCTGACTCCCAGTCCCTCCCAACCACACTCACTCCCAGAACCAGGGGTAGTCCTGACCCTTCGCCTCCTGCTCTAACCACCAGATGACACGGCCTTTGGACCAAACTCCTTCTCTCAAAGGCACCAGATCTGAGATCCCACGTACAGCCTTGGGGACCCCGTCAGAACAGCTTTGAGCCTGACTGACCTCCAGACCCGCCATCCTGGGTCACAGATCCCAGGTCCCCTTCCTTGTCAGAACATCCTTCCCCTGAAGAACAGGCCCTGCCGGTGCGTCTGCCCAGGCACCAGTGGTTTGAAAGCGCGATCCTGTCTCCGCAGCTCAAACCAGCTCCTGTGTTTCTCTCGCCCAGAAGCAGAGCGGGGACGACTTTTGGTCTCGGCTGGGTGCGTTACGCTAGCCCTCGGCAGGCATCGCTGAGGGCTGAATCCAGCCCTGGATTGGCTGCTTAGCCCAGAGTTTGGGTTAGTTAGAAATGAATTTGTTGAGCGGGGAGGGTTAAATTATATTAAACCCAAAATGGGGACCAGAGGTTTTGGAAACCCCCCCTGGGTGCGCCTGCCCTTGCCGGGGAGGCTGAGAAAGGCCCCGATCCTGCAAAGACGGTGTTCACACCCTACTTTTCATTCAGTGTTTTTGCTGCACCAGGCACAACAGGGTCCTAGTCTATGGCTCCAAGGATACACATCATAACGATTCTAATTAACTCTCTGCATGAGAGCAGCCCCCCTGGGACTATTCGAATACATAGTCCCTGGATGACTGATCAGGGCCGGAGCGTGCCCAGCGCGTGGCCCCAATCCTGTGATTGACAACGCTTGGGCATTGATTCCAGCCAGGTGCTGCTCCAGCACCACAGCCCATGTCATTCACAGGATCGTAGAATCATAGAATCTCAGGGTTGGAAGGGACCTCAGGAGGTCATCTAGTCCAATCCCCTGCTCAAAGCAGGACCAATCCCCAGACAGATTTTTTTACCCCAGTTTCCTAAATGGCCCCCTCAAGGATTGAACTCACAACCCTGTGTTTAGCAGGCCAATGCTCAAAACACTGAGCTAGCCCTCCCCCCATGGGTCCACCATGGGCCAGGCAGGTCACAAGTGCAATTTTCACGGCACATTTTCGATCTCATAGGTTGGGAGGGGGCAAAGAAGCGGACGGGGAAAATATTGGAAACGCTTTTCCCCCCCGAATCGAGGACAAAAGGGCAGAAATGTTCCCAAATTGCCAAAAAAAAAAGTGTCAGAAACTCCCTCTAATTTTCAGACGGTGCCAAAATGTCCGAAATTCCCCAGCAGTTTCATGTGGAAACCCAAGGAAGGTGAATGCTCCCCCACCCTGGGTCCATCCTGCCTAACTCGTGAGCTCTTTGGGACAGGACCTGTCTAATCCCCTGTGTTTGTTCACCCCAGCGCAGTGGGCCCCGATCTCGGCTGGCCCCTAGGCCCTGCCATAATAGACATAATGAATAATAACGTGTTGGCTGCACTGAAGGCATGGAACAAGCAGGGGAGATTGGCTGCTCTGCAGTATTGGACGGCCCCGAGATTTCACCAGCCCGATGGAAGTTTAGTCCTATCGGTTTTGCACAAGTCCTAGAACAAATGGGAGGGGGGTGTCTTTTAGGACACCCCCAAAGTACCCAGCTTCAATTAACAGAGGGAGGGAAGGGACAAGACCCCCTCCCTCTTCCGGGGGGGGGGTTCACTCCGCCAGCTGGAGAATCGTGGGGGCGATGGATTGTAGCCGGAACAAAGGGGCCACAACAGGAGGCGGTGAGACAAAGGTTGCTATGCAGGCCGGGGGAGGGGCGGGAGATAGGGGTGCAGTAAATTATCCCCAGGGAGAAGCCAAGACAAAACGGCTGCTGCTGGGGACGGAAAGGGGGGAGGCTGCAGCAGCAGAGCCCCCCCCACACACCCCCGCCGGCCCCCTGCATCCTCTGATGGAGTGTGGGGAGGAGGGGGAGTACACGCCTCTCTCCCTTGCCTATCTCCCGGCCTTCCCTTCGCTCTGCAGCCCTACAGGAGGTGTGGAGAGAGGATTGGGGCGTTACCAGTGTCCGGTGTGATAGGGCCCCGGTTGTATGAGGCGAGAGAGTACCCAGACCTGGTTAGAGAGCGCCTAGATGGTACCACTGCTACCAAGCAAAGCTGTGGTGAATCCCTGCCTCCTGCTTCCCTGGAGCTTGGCCAATTAGGCTGGAGCATCCCCGAACCTCGCCTGGCAGGCAGGGCCTGGAGCTGGCCTGGCCCTGCAGAGCACATGGGGATTTGGGATCCAGCTGGCTGGGTGGGTTGGAAATCTCTGAAAACGGGCCCTGCGTGCTCCCCAGAATCATGCCCTAAATGCCAGGGGCTTTGATCGCGCCGTGCACTCACCTGCTAAGAGCAACAGGAGGAGACGCTCCCCCAGTCTCTGCATTGCAGCTTGGGGGAGGCTGGCTCCGCTCAGCCGGCTCTCTGGATGTCTCCAGCACCGGTTCCTAAGTCTCTGACTGACCCTCCGGCTGAGATCTAGACAGTGCATCTTCTAACCTCCGTCCCCACCGCTCTGCGCTGTGCAGAGACTGTGCTTCCTGCCACAGCACCAGCATGACCTACTCAGCATGGGAGCAAAGAGTCAGAGCGTCTCCAGCCAGCCCCCTGATCTCTAGTAATGACAGCCTGGAGCTCAGGGCACTTTAATGGGTTAAGATGGATATAATCCCCTTTTTACAGCTAGGGAAACCGAGGCACAGAGAAGCAACCAACTCAAGGTCACCCAGTGACTCAGCAGCAGAGCCAACAACAGAGCCCTGGAGTCAGACTGGGTCAGACCAATGGTCCATCCAGCCCAGTATCCTGTCTTCTGACAATGGCCAATGCCAGATGCTTCAGAGGCAATGAATAGAACAGGGCAATTTATCAAGTGATCCATCTTCTGTCAGCCAGAGGTTAGGGACACCCAGAGCATGGAGTTGCATTACTGACCATCTCGGCTAATAGCCATTGATGGACCTGTCCTCCATGAACTTATCTAATTCTTTTTTGAACCCAGTCATACTTTTGGCCTTCACAACATCCCCTGGCAATGAGTTCCACAGGTTGACTGTGCGGTGGGTGAAGAAGTTCTTCCTTCTGTTCATTGTAAACCTGCTGCCTATTCATTGGATGACCCCTGGTTCCTGTGTTATGTGAAGGGATAAATAACACTGCCTTATTCCACACCCTTCATAGACCTCAATCATATCCTCCCCCCCGTCCCACGCTTTTTAATCTCTCCTATGAAAGCTGTTCCATACCCCTAATCATTTTTGATGCTCATATCTCTGTACTCCCCCCCCCCCATTTATCTTCTTTGAGATGAGGCACCAGAACTACAGGCAGTATTCAAGGTGTGGGCGTACCATGGATTCATATAGTGGCACTATGATATCTACCCCTTTCCTAATGGTCTGTTAGCTTTTTTTATTTATAATAATATATGGAGATATACCTATGTCATAGAACTGGAAGGGACGTCATCGAGTCCAGCCCCCTGCCTTCACGAGCAGGACCAAGTACTGATTTTTGCCCCCGATCCCTAGAATGGCCCCCCTCAACGATTAAACTCACAACCCTCAGTTTAGCAGGCCAATGCTCAAACCACTGAGCTATCCCACCTCCATTTCTGCTGCATGTTGATCACCAGACCACCCTCTGCCCCAGAGCTGGAACAGAACCCAGGAGTCCTGGCTGGGGTGACCAGATGTCCCGATTTTATAGGGACAGTCCCAATTTTTGGGGGTCTTTTTCTTATATAGGCTCCTATTACCCCCCCACCCCCATCCCGATTTTTCACATTTGCTGTCTGGTCACCCTAGTCCTGGCTCCTAGTCCCACGCCTGAACCAGGCAGCCAATCTCCTTTTCTCCTCACCCTACCCCACAGCCTTGAGTCTGGGGAGGAGGCGAGGTCAGCGATCATTGGGATTTCAGCACTCCTATTCCCCTGACCCCCTAAAGTCCCTACAGCACCCCTTGCTGGAGTAAGCTGGGACTGGAGTAGCTAATGTTCCTAAACTGAGCCCTATACCAACTGCCACTGGGAACATTGCCCACACAGCCAGCACGCCATCCCATTCCCTGGAGCCCCCATGCTGGGAGAGGCTGGGACTGGAAAAGCCACAAGCTCCCTGGGCTCCCCTTATAGCTAACGCCCTCACAACATCCCCCTAGAGCGCCCCCTACTGGGAGAGGCAGGCATTGGAGGGCCCTGAGTTTCCCCACCAGCTGACTTTTCTAGGTTCACTCTCAGCACGGAGGCGAAGTCTGGGAGCAGCCCTCCCCAGAGGCGAGCGATGGGCCCGGGGTGAGTGCACGTTCTTCAGAGAAGAAAGCGAGAAACTGAAACACCCCCACATCCCGCCATGAGCATCAGCCCTCGCGCTCCCGCTCGCAGGCGCAGCCTTTGAGGCAGACCACAGGACGTGGTCTCATTTAGCGACATGTGGGTCAGTGACCAAAGAGAGCTCAGAACTAGAGCAGCTGGAAATGACGTCTTAGCTGTGCAGTGAGCACCCACACGCTGCTACACAGGGTCACCGGAGGCAATCACGCCTCTGCATGGACTCACACTGCCCCTGCTCAGCGATAACCAGGCTGTTGCACCAGATCAGGGGTAGGCAACCTATGGCACGGGTGCCGAAGGCGGCACGCGAGCTGATTTTCAGTGGCACACACACTGCCCGGGTCCTGGCCACCGGTCCGGGGGGCTCTGCATTTTAATTTAATTTTAAATGAAGCTTCTTAAACATTTTAAAAACCTTATTTACTTTACATACAACAATAGTTTAGTTATATATTATAGACTTATAGAAAGATACTTTCTAAAAACATTAAAATGTATTACTGGCACACAAAACCTTAAATTAGAGTGGATAAATGAAGACTCGGCACACCACTTCTGAAAGGTTGCCGACCCCTGCACCAGATCATGTCCACCCTGCACAGGGGCAGATACACCCATGCACAGAATTACCCCCCTGCTCAGTCACTCCCGCCCCATGGGTACAGTCACTGAATCACCCCCACTAGGTATACAGCAGTGGTTCTCAAACTTTTGTACTGGTGATCCCTTTCACATAGCAAGCCTCTGAGTGCGACCCCCCCTTATAAATTAAAAACACTTTTTTATATATTTAACACCATTATAATGCTGGAGGCAAAGCAGGGTTTAGGGTGGAGGCTGACAGCTCGCGACCCCCCCCATATAATAACCTGGCGACCCCCTGAGGGGTCCCGACCCCCAGTTTGAGAACCCCTGGTATACAGAATCCCCCGCCCCTTGCACACAGCTAGTTTCGCTGCTACCAGCCTGGCTACACACAGTGATGCAGTGGAGCGGACACCACACACCCTGTGATAGCCGGCCTGATGCACACGGGCCCCACCCTGCAGAATACCCAGCCGGCGAGGGACAGGCTGCAAAAGTAACACCCATGCTGCACAGATCACACCCACAGGCACACCAAGCCACAGGCACGGACACCACCACCCTCAAGAGCGTGGGCGCCGTCCGTGGGCAGGTGCCAGCCGGCTCCCTGCACCCGCCACCGCCGGCAAACTCTAGCCCCCACCTCCCTGCTCCCCCAGGAACCTCCCCACCCCGCTGCAGCGCCATCAGCTCAGACAGCCGAAGCAGGGCTGCCCCTGAGGGCTCCTTGCAGGGGTCAGAGCTGGGGGCAGCCTCTCTAGGCAGGACCAGAGCCTGGGCTGTTCTGTGCCTCCCCCACCCCCCCTTCTCGGGCAGGGACTACACTTCCCAGCATGCCCCGTGCACCTGCGCACTGAGGGGGGGCAGTGCAAGTTCCCAGGCTGGGGGCACTGGCGGCTGCTTTCCCACCAGCTTTGTGGATGCCGGAGGGGAAGGGCCGGGCCGTCCAGCACCCGGGCAAAGAGCCCTCGAGCCCCCGGGCGGCCGCGCTCCCCATGCCCCTGCACCCATCGCCCAGGGCCGAGCTGGGCACGGCGCTCTGAAGATGGGGGACCAGAAGGTGAGGCGGGGGGGGGAGGATGCAGGCTTGGGAGAGCCGGCGCCAGGTGATGCTGCAGCATCTGTCCCCGGGGCTCGGAGATGCCGCGAGCTGGGCCGGGCGAGCATCTCCTCCCCCGGGCCGGCCGGCCCCAGGACTGCAGGGAGCCGAGCGGAGATGGCTGGGCCCCCACTCCCCCCCGCAGCCCGGGGGCTTGCTTGGCCTCAGCCGTAGTCCAGCCCCGGGCTTTGCAGGGTCTGTTCTCTGCACGGGGATGGGGGGAGCAGGAAGGCGTCCCCCCTCCCTGGAGAGGCGGGGGGGCTGTGGCTCCAGAGGGAGGGGCCTGGACTTGGCATGGGGGGTGGGGGAGTAATTCAGAGACCGTGCAACAAAGGAAGGGATGTAACATCCCTCCGCAGCTTCCTCCCTCCGGGGAGATGGGGTTGGGGAAACCCCCCCCCCTCGTCCCTGCACAGTGGGGTTCAGAAATGAAAACAAATGTGGCTGGACAGAACTACAGACCCCCCCCCCCCCACACACACACACAGCTGGATGGAACTACAGACCCTCCTGGCGTATTCCCCCAGCCCCTGGCAGGACAGAACTCCAGACCCTCCCCTCCCCCAGCCCATTCTTCCCAGCCTTCCAGGTCGTCCTGCTGTAATGGCAGCAGATCCAGCTCCCCCAAATCTCCTACTGGCTCCAGTGGGGGGTTCCCAGTGTGCAAGGAGCTTCTTTGGTGCTGAAAGTATTCCCCCAGGGAGGAAAGACAGGCTAAGCTCTGCTCCCGACTCGGCCCACGACCCTGGGACTGGATCGACATAGACGGGTGAGAGTCTGCCCGTGTGGATCCACTTGTACCGCGGGGCCTGCCTGGGTGACCTTGGCCTGCTCTGCAGAGGTGCTGAGTCCCCTGGACGGCAGCTGGAGTTGTGGTGCCTCGTACTTCTGAAAACACCCACCCTGTGTGTGCCTCAGTTTCTCCATCTGTAATGGAGGAGGGTGTGATTCTCTCACTGCTCCTAGGGTGGGGGCACATTTGAGATCCACCAGTGGAAGGTGCTGGGAAAATTCCAGTGCCCGTTATTCGTTAGTAACACAGAGCCGCAGCGAAGGGGAGGCAGTTCCGTTCGTCTGGTGATCATGGTGGGTTTTCAATCATGAATCAAAATGTAGGTACAGAAAGAGGCCCTGCTCTGTACAGGCACATCCCAGCCCGAGCCAGTATTTTGATTATTTGCATTAGAGTGACATATAGAGACCCCAACCCAGATTGGAGCCCCACAGTGCCAAGTCTGGCACAGACACCTGCTGAGACACAGTCCCTGCCCCAAGGTCCTTACAGTCAAAATAGACAAGACACACTGGATGGGGAAGGGAAACTGAGGCACGGGGACGGGACTTGCCCAAGGTCACCCAGCAGGCCAGCAGCTGAGCTGGGAATGGCGCTGGGTGCCCTGTCCATAAGACCCCACAGCCTATAGCCTGGGGGAAATAAATGCATTTGCCAGTCTGATGGTAACTAATAAAATGTAATGTCTGTGTGTAAGCAGAGTAGGGCAGGGTCAGACCTGGGATGAGAGCTGTGGGAGGAGAGAGACTAGGAGTTCCATTCCTGGCCCCTCTATTGAGTTCCCATGTGACCCATAGGCAAGTAAATGTACCCATCCGTGCCTCAGTTTCCCCAGCTGTTTATAATATAATGTTACTCCCCGAAAGTGCTGTCAGCCTAGGCACCTCACGTCTGGGGCGTGTGTTGAGATGCTTGCACGGAAGGCATGAGGGGCAGTGATGGCACAGTGTGATGTGTTTGTGTCCCTGTCCCAGGCGAGGGGCCCCCCGTGAGATCTGAGCTGGGCCCTGAGGGAGGGTGAATTGCCCCCGGCTCAGGAGCAGGGGTGGGGGTGGGAGCCCAGGGGTGCCGCTGATGGCAGGCGTTGGTGTTTTGGCCCAGGACGCCCTACGGAAGATCATCACCACGCTGGCCGTGAAGAACGAGGAGATCCAGAACTTCATCTACGGCCTCAAGCAGATGCTGCAGAACGTGGAGGTAATGGGGGGTCCCGCCTGGCTCTGCAGGGCTCCCCCTGCCCCAACCCCTGCTCTGTGGGGGTTGGCATCACAGCACCCCGCCACCCTCCTGCATGACACTTCCTCCCATCATCTCCCTTGCATTGTGTTGGCATGACAGGGCCCCTCCCCCTCCAGCCCCCCAGCATTGGCATGACAGCGCTCCTCCCCCTCCAGCCCCCCAGCATTGGCACGACAGCACCCCTCCCCCCACTAATCTCCCAGCATTGGCATG